TTCATATTGCTTAAAAGCACAGTGCATCATCAAGTATCACGTTGAAGACAATTACGAATATCCATCTTTTAGGCAGAGGTTGGAGTAGAAACCATAGACCTTGTGTATTAACAAAATTTTAACCATGTTCTGTTGTGAATGAGGTGCAAGCTAGGGCAGTTTGATGTGATGTGTATATTTAGCCATGAACTCGCTGTTGCAATTGTTTTTCTTCTCTTTAATGTGTTATCATATTGAAATCAATGGATATGAGATTCTGTTTTGTTTTTCCATTATCTGCTCTCGGGTCAGAAATAGGGTTAGAGTAATAGCATTGATGATTGTATATTTAGTCGTCGATTGGTGTAGGTGGAAGTGAAGAAGCATTAATTGATGCCAACAAGGAAGAGAGGCCAATGAGGCACAAAAAGATATAAAATAAAAATAAAAAACTGAAGATGGAAGCTCTCATCAGGACGATAATCTTACACCAGCAGAAAGACGCTACATAGAGCAAAGGAATAAAATCGACATGCATAGCAGCATAGGCTGGCATAGACATCTAATAAATCCCATCGTGACCGTATTGAGTGAACATTACGACATTCCTAAGGTTGACTACTGAAGATTACCAGTCTGAACTCAGAAGACATGGATTGTGGAAGGATTATGCCTTGTTGATGATTAATGTGACTCCGGGCTTTGTTTTCTTTTTGTTCTTCTGGAGATTAAGACTTGTTTCTATTCAATGATTTAGCTGTAGAAACTGAAGAAACTTCCTGCAAGGAAATGTTTGCAAATACTTTTGTTCGCCTGGACGTATTGCCTAGTGTTAAGAATTCAGACGTTATGCCCGTTACCTCACTTGAATATTTGACATATGGACACAAACCCTCGTTAGCTAATGGGCCAACACGGTACACTATAGTGCATTCCCATTGGCTACTATCTTGGGTTCTGGCGTTAAAAATGTAGGAAGAACAGGCAAACGAGGACATATATCATCAAGCTGAGGATATTGCAAGACCATCCTTCAAATAAAGAAATATTTGGAAAAAACTTCAAGTATATTTTAAAAGTTGAGTAATAAACGAGTAGAACTTCAACAAATTTAATCTTTTCCTTTTAAATAACGATTTGGCATCTAAGATTAACATGATTTACAACGCTATTTGCCGATGATTTTTTATTTGGAAATAATCTGAAAATTTTACAATCTTGAACTCGCATTTGCCTTTTGTTTTGAAGAGTGTCCAAATACTGTACTTGGGCAAATGATGAAAAACTAGGAAAAAGAAATACATAAACACGTTACTAGAAATTAAATTGTAAAAGTGAAGTTAGATAGACAATCAATAATGGTCTTCGGTGTATAAAATCGTTGCCCATCTCAAGATTCTACACCTAATAATTTATTTCAATGTCAAGAACCACCAATACAAAATAATTCCTGATCGATGCCTCTTATTACAATCCATAAACAAAAATATAGGGCTTCCAAAAAACATACAAAATAAAAAAAATAGCTACACCAACCACATTGAACATGGGCTAAACAATAGCTCAAAAATACAATATGATAACCCAGTTCACTCACCTAAAGCAAATCCCAATATTTTGATCACCGGCTTTCATCCTAAGGTTGCGGAAACCAGCAGTCAAATTATCGTAAAGTTTCTTAAATTTCGCAACTAGGGCTTCCTCTCCTTCAGCTGGATCCTCAAATTTCTGAGAACTGCATTGCCGAGAGAGAGAACTCAAAGCATTAAAAACAAAAAAAAAAATTACTGAAATTTGTTTTAGTTTTTTGCAGTGATATCACTTACACTAGACGGTAGAATAAATCTCCCAAACGATGCTTAATAAGAGTGTAAGTTATCTTCTGGCCATCCATACCAGCTCCTCGCTCAACTGCCTGCACAAGGAAACACATGATATAAATACACGAGCTCTTTTAATCAACGAAAGTCTCAATTCAAAGTGTAAGAAATGGGACTCGTGTTTAACGATCCTCACCATCCCAACTAAATCCTATACTTGTCCAAGTGAAGCCTAATACAATTGAACTTAAAAAAAAAGGCAAATGATTATATTTTCTAGTTAATCAACGGGATACTTATTTAGGTTGGCCAAATTGTAGAAATGAATAATGTTGCGCATCATCCAAACAGACTTGTAGAATGAACAGAATTTATCGTATCTGTTAACAAAGATACATTCAGATAAGTCTTAAAACCAATAAATCGAGAGAACTCCCAAACGCAGTTAGGTAGAGATTAACAGAGTAAAAGCGTTCTGTGCAAGATAGTCGTCTCTCAAGAGCTTTGCAGTTTCCAAGGTAATTTTATCTGTTTCAGCTAAAGCATCTTTTCCAAGTAAATGCAATGAACAAAATAACCATACTTCAATTACAATTTACATCTGCTTAACATAAAAGTCTTACCACATCGGCAATGCCTTTCATTTTGCTACCTTTTGCATTATGTATTGTTTTGCTATAACCAGAAAATACAGGACGAGACGGATAATGAAACATTTCAAATATCTCCTAAGAACTATTTTCTCCAATCAAATCTGAACAATCATCTTATAGGAGAGAAGAAACTATGACTTAATGATTATGATATACTATCATCATGCCTATGAGTAATTCAGAAGATGGCTTACTATTAGTCTCGCTTATCAGAGCAAAAGGATATTCAGAAACTAAAATAACATGCCTGGACGATTTCATTCAAATAATCCTCTCTTTGCAGAACTTCACGAGCTTTTGTCCTGATGTCAATAAAATCTGAATCAAACTTCTCATAAAAGGATTCCAGTGCCTGAAAATGCAAGCAATAGTTTCAGCATGTCCAAAGAGTATTTTGAGCAGCAATGTGGCAAAAATAATAAATTTGAAGAGATCAAAGTCATACCCCTGAATACTTTGAGTAAGAAATAAGCCAGTTTACAGAAGGGAAATGTTTCATCTGTGCCAATTTCTTGTCTAGACCCCAGAAAACCTGAAAAAATAGCAACGAAGTACAAAATATAGCATGATGTGCTAATGGAAGATGAACTTGTAAGTCATTCAATCTGTTAACCTGGACAATACTGAGTGTTGCAGATGTAACAGGATCAGAGAAATCTCCTCCTGGAGGAGAAACGGCACCAACAATGGTGACACTGCCATTTCTTTCAGGCCCACCAAGACATTCAACTTTACCAGCACGCTCATAAAAGGATGCCAAACGTGCTGCCAGATAAGCAGAATATCCACTATCTGCAGGCATCTCAGCCTGCAAAGCAAAAGGTAGTGCATAGGATCAACAGTTCAACACCACGAGACATTTAAACTAACATCATTAGGGGTATTCTGTCAAGGGCTTTGCTACTTGTACATCACAATGTACATTAGGGTGTACATCCCACTCACATGGGGGTGGGACCTGCTTAAATAAAAAGATATTTTATTCAGTGGGTTCCACCCTCATGTGAGGGGGGTGTAGCCCCTTATGTACAAAAGTTGATGTACAAGTAGAATTTTCCTTCTGTCAATTGTAATAAAATGCAATTGGGCCTAGTTAACGGACAGCACAAGAATATCCTTGAACTAATCCTTATTGGTCCTAAGAACGGAGGAGGCGAGGTTAGCTGAAACAGCATTTCGGTTCAACTTTCATGACCATAAATGTGTCTCCGATTTTTGAGGGTAAAAAGGCATTAGAAGGGCATACTTCCATTCGAACAGGGGTCTGAAAACAAACCTCTCCTGAGGAGGATAGATGTAGAGGTTCAGATGAGAGAATGTGCAGCCAGGTATTTTAAAATGGTTCGAAACAGTGTCTCTGAAGTCTGAAGAGAAGTAAAAACATGGCATACAGAATAAGAAGTGTCTGCAATGTTTGTGCACGACACAGAAAGCCCACTACTTTAGTCAACTCAATCCAACAAGCCTTATTAAACAGACCAAAACTAAAGATGCTAGTAAAGAAGAAAGTTGAATACCCAAATGGAAAAAACGTAGCCAGTTCAAGCATGATGATTTTTAAGCACTTAACATTGTAAGCTTCTGTTTCCTTCACTGATGAGGCTTTGTTATTGTTCCTTTCATTTGAACATGCATTTCAATTCCAAAATCAAGTTTCACTTCCCAGTTTTCATAATTACAGGACCAATTGAGGCACCAAGTATGGATCTTGCTAAGATGGCGATCCAGTGACTCAAGATAATTAAATAATGATGACAGAAATCTTAGGATACATACCAATCGACCTGAAATTTCACGCAATGCTTCTGCTCAGCGAGATGTTGAATCTGCAATCATACTGACATTATAGCCCATATCTCTGAAATATTCAGCTATAGTGATTCCTGAACATCCACATTTAAACAAACATAAGAATAATTATCAAAAAAAAAAACCTGCTTTATTTTGTAGAACTAATAGCATCATGGATATAGAGATGGATAATATTAAAACCTAGGATAACCATGCACATCTATAAAATGTAGAACCAGTAGAAACACAAGGTCAGTTCCTTCAACAACTTAAGGAAGCTGTGCACTGTGGAAACATGGTGAGTGATATGATCAAACTTAGTAGGATGATCCAAAGAACGTATATAAAAATGTAGAACCAGTAAGGTTAATAATGTGAAGAAGGGATGGGCTAGGAATTCTTTTATGTGTAATTGAAGTCTTAAATTAATCAAAAGGCATATGGAGAAGTGCTATGTGAGATTTTTAATAACACTCAAAGAAAATAATCCAAGAATCAGTCTGTAATTAGTAGTAACTCTGGGCTCATGCAATCAAATAATTTAAATTCTACAATCTTGTGGTTCCACTCCTGCTGTATGCAACTCAGGTTATTAGAGAACCTAGAGAGTTAATATATTAACAGTTTGACATATGGAAACCCTATATACCTGTGTAAATTGAAGCCTCACAAGCAGCCACAGGCATAGTTGAGGTGTTAGCCACCAGCGTAGTACGCTTCATAACAGATTCCTCCCTGCCATCTGGCAGTGTCATTGTCAATTGAGGGAAATCCATAAGCACCTGTAGTTGATATATAGGTTATGTATTTTCAAGATGTTACATGTACTAATTAAACAAGAGAGCAACTATACCTCTGCCATTTCATTTCCTCTTTCTCCACAACCAACATAAACTTCAGTGTCAGAGTTCGAGTACTGCATTTTCAAATCAGTGGAGAAAAATAGTGTTAGAAGCTTATAATAGATCATAAGCATCGTGTAGCCCAAAAAGATTACCAACAAATGAAAGAAAGAACAGAAATCGACGGAGGGCACCTTAGATAGGGCTTGACTAATGACAGTTTTTCCACAACCAAAAGCACCAGGGATAGCACAAGTCCACCAAGCACGGAGGGGAACAGAGCATCAAGAACTCGCTGAATGAAAAAAAGTTATAAAGTTAATGAAATATTGCAACAAGTTATTTTATAAAGGAAAATACATAAGGCAGGGAAATATAATTATTACATAAAACAGTCACCTGCCGGGTCAGCAGAGGAGTATCAGCAGCAAGCTTTGAGGCCATAGGTCTAGGTGTACGTACAGGCCAAGTCTGCAGGGCATATCAGAGTAAGTTTTTATTTGTTTATTTGTTTATTGCATATTGTAGAAACATATATTAAGTGGCCACCAAATCAGAAATTTGTCCATGATTAGGAATGCTAACCTAAAGCATAGTAAATTGCTTTTTAACACCTTGAAACTCAAGCTCAAGAACAGTGTCCTGCATATAAGTGGAATAAAGTGATTCAAGATTTATGCAAACAATATCTGATGCGAACCCGGGTAGGGGTATCGCATGGAACTCGCGGAATTGATTTGAAAACGTCGGGAAAGCCCAGGTTTTCAACCCGACTCGAGTCTCACGATTCAAGAACCTAAGGTAT